CTGAAGGTTCTCCAGGGTTTTCCAAAGGTTCTCCAGGGTTGCTTGAAGGTTTTCCATGGTTTTCCAAAGGTTTTTTGGTGTTTTCCAAAGGTTTTCCAAAGGTTTTTTGGTGTTTTCCAAAGGTTTTCCAAAGGTTTTTTGGGGTTTCTGAAGGTTTCTTCAGCCTGCTCAGCTTGGAGAAGATCGGATACACCGGTACAGAAAACACCGGAGTTCCAGGAATTCCCAAAAATTCTGGGAGTTTCCAAAAATTCCGGGAGATTTTGGTGGTGGGGATGGGGTTTTTTTTTGGATTTTTTTGGTGTTTTCCGAAGGTTTTTTTGGGTTTTCTGAAGGTTTTCCAAAGGTTTCCAAGGTTTTCCAAAGGTTCTTCAGGGTTTTCCAGGGTTTTCCAGAGGTTTTTTGGGGTTTTCCAAGGGTTTTCCCAAGTTTTCCAAGGTTTTCTGGAGTTTTTTTAGGATTTTTCCAGGGTTTTTTAAAAGTTTTCTGGGGTTTCTGAAGGTTTCTTCAGCCTGCTCAGCTTGGAGAAGATCGGATACACCGGGACAGAAAACACCGGAATTCCGGGAATTTCCTGGGAATTCCACAAAATTCTGGGAGATTTTGATGGTTGGGATGGGATTTTTGGGATTTTTTGGCGTTTTTTAAAGGTTTCTCCGGGATTTTTTGAAGGTTTTGTGGGGTTTTTTGAAGGTTCTCTGGGGTTTTCCAAAGGTTTTCCAAAGGTTTTTCCAGGGTTTTCCCAGGGTTTTCTGGGGTTTCTGAAGGTTTTCTGAAGGTTTTTTGGGTTTTCCAAGAGTTTTCCTAAGTTTTCCGAGGTTTTCTGGAGTTTTTTTAGGATTTTCTGGCGTTTTCCAAGGTCTTCCAGGATTTTCCAAAGGTTTTCCAGGGTTTTCTGGAGTTTTTTTAGGATTTTCTGGGGTTTTCCAAAGGTTTTTTGGAGTTTTTTTAGGATTTTCTGGGGTTTTCCAAAGGTTTTTTGGAGTTTTTTTAGGATTTTCTGGGGTTTTCCGAAGGTTTTTTTGGGTTTTCCAAAGTTTTCCAGAGGTTTCTGAAAGTTTTCTGGGTTTTCTGAAGGTTTTCCAGGGTTTTCTGAAGGTTCTCCGGGGTTTTCCAAAGTTTTCCAAAGATTTTTCCAGAGTTTTCCGAAGTTTTTTGGGGTTTTCTGAAGTTTCTCCAGAGTTTTCCAGGGTTTTCTGAAAGTTTTTTAGGGTTTTCCAAAGGTTTTCCAGGATTTTCTGAAGGTTTCCTAAAAGTTTTCCAAGGTTTTCTAGGGTTTTCCAAAAGCTTTTTTGGGTTTTCTGAAGGTTTTCCAGGCTTTTCCAGGGTTTTCTAAAGGTTTTCCAGGATTTTCTGAAGGTTTTTTGGGGTTTTCCAAGAATTTTGTGGGGTTTTCCAAAGGTTTTCCAGGGTTTTCCAGAGGTTTTCCAGGGTTTTCTGAAGGCTTTGTGGGGTTTTCCTTGGATTTTTTTGGGTTTTCCCAAAGTTTTTCCAGCCTGCTCAGCTTTGAGAAAATCAATTGGATACAGAAAATCCTGGAATTCTGGGAATTCCGGGAATTCCCGTCCCCCAGCATCGATCCCGACCGGGATTTTGGGATTTCCTGGGGCTCTCCTGTCGGAATTCCCGATTTTCCCAAGGTTTTCCCGAGGTTTTCCGGAGGTTTTTCTGCACTGGTGGGAAGACAAAATCCAGGATTTCTCATGGAATTCTGGAAGGAATCCCAGGATTTAGGATGGGATGAGAGAAGGGAATTTGGGACAGGGAAATTTTGGGAATTTCATCGGATAACGAAGAAAACAAAGGGAATTCTGTGAGAATTCCGGGAATTCTTCAGGATAACGGTGAATCCTTTTAGGATCTGCTGAGAATTCCACAAATTTTTCAGGATAACGATGAATCCTGTTGGGATTTGCTCAGAATTCCGGGAATTTTCTCGGATACAGCTGCTAATTCCAAGAATTCTGTGGGATAACAGCGAATCCAGCCAGGATCCGCCAATAATTCCCAAATTTTTATCGGATAACGGCAAATCCCATTGAGATCCGACGATAATTCCAAGATTTTTCTCAGATAGGGCTCTGGGATGGACTGGGAGCAACTGGGATGGACGGGGAATGGACTGGGATGGACTGGGAGTGACTGGGATGGACTGGGATGGACTGGGAGTGACTGGGATGGGACTGGGATGGACTGGGATGGACTGGGAGTGACTGGGATGGACTGGGAATGACTGGGATGGACTGGGATGGACTGGGATGGACTGGGAATGACTGGGATGGACTGGGATGGACTGGGATGGGACTGGGATGGACTGGGAGTGACTGGGATGGGACTGGGAGTGACTGGGATGGGACTGGGATGGACTGGGATGGGACTGGGATGGGACTGGGATGAACTGGGAGTGACTGGGAGTGACTGACTGGGATGGGACTGGGATGAACTGGGAGTGACTGGGATGGGACTGGGAGTGACTGGGATGGACTGGGATGAACTGGGATGGACTGGGATGGGACTGGAATCCCGGCTTTGGAGCATCCCAGTGATTCCAGTTTTGGATCCAGTGATAATTCCAAGGATTTTATTGGATAATGGCAAATCCAGTCAGGATCCGCTGAAAATTCCCAGTTTTTTTGTCAAATAACGGCAAATTTCCATAGAATCTGCCAAAAATTCCGGGATTTTTCTCAGATAACAGCAAATCTTCATTGGATCCACTGAAAATTCCCAGTTTTTTCTCGGATAACGGCGAATTTCCCTTAGAATCCACTGAAAATTCCCAGTTTTTTCTCGGATAACGGCGAATTTCCCTTAGAATCCACTGAAAATTCCCAGTTTTTTCTCGGATAACGGCGAATTTCCCTTAGAATCCACTGAAAATTCCCAGTTTTTTCTCGGATAACGGCGAATTTCCCTTAGAATCCACTGAAAATTCCCAGTTTTTTCTCGGATAACGGCGAATTTCCCTTAGAATCCACTGAAAATTCCCAGTTTTTTCTCGGATAACGGCGAATTTCCCTTAGAATCCACTGAAAATTCCCAGTTTTTTCTCGGATAACGGCGAATTTCCCTTAGAATCCACTGAAAATTCCCAGTTTTTTCTCGGATAACGGCGAATTTCCCTTAGAATCCACTGAAAATTCCCAGTTTTTTCTCGGATAACGGCGAATTTCCCTTAGAATCCACTGAAAATTCCCAGTTTTTTCTCGGATAACGGCGAATTTCCCTTAGAATCCACTGAAAATTCCCAGTTTTTTCTCGGATAACGGCGAATTTCCCTTAGAATCCACTGAAAATTCCCAGTTTTTTCTCGGATAACGGCGAATTTCCCTTAGAATCCACTGAAAATTCCCAGTTTTTTCTCGGATAACGGCGAATTTCCCTTAGAATCCACTGAAAATTCCCAGTTTTTTCTCGGATAACGGCGAATTTCCCTTAGAATCCACTGAAAATTCCCAGTTTTTTCTCGGATAACGGCGAATTTCCCTTAGAATCCACTGAAAATTCCCAGTTTTTTCTCAGATAACGGCGAATTTCCCTTAGAATCCACTGAAAATTCCCAGTTTTTTCTCGGATAACGGCGAATTTCCCTTAGAATCCACTGAAAATTCCCAGTTTTTTCTCGGATAACGGCGAATTTCCCTTAGAATCCACTGAAAATTCCCAGTTTTTTCTCGGATAACGGCGAATTTCCCTTAGAATCCACTGAAAATTCCCAGTTTTTTCTCGGATAACGGCGAATTTCCCTTAGAATCCACTGAAAATTCCCAGTTTTTTCTCGGATAACGGCGAATTTCCCTTAGAATCCACTGAAAATTCCCAGTTTTTTCTCGGATAACGGCGAATTTCCCTTAGAATCCACTGAAAATTCCCAGTTTTTTCTCGGATAACGGCGAATTTCCCTTAGAATCCACTGAAAATTCCCAGTTTTTTCTCGGATAACGGCGAATTTCCCTTAGAATCCACTGAAAATTCCCAGTTTTTTCTCGGATAACGGCGAATTTCCCTTAGAATCCACTGAAAATTCCCAGTTTTTTCTCGGATAACGGCGAATTTCCCTTAGAATCCACTGAAAATTCCCAGTTTTTTCTCGGATAACGGCGAATTTCCCTTAGAATCCACTGAAAATTCCCAGTTTTTTCTCGGATAACGGCGAATTTCCCTTAGAATCCACTGAAAATTCCCAGTTTTTTCTCGGATAACGGCGAATTTCCCTTAGAATCCACTGAAAATTCCCAGTTTTTTCTCGGATAACGGCGAATTTCCCTTAGAATCCACTGAAAATTCCCAGTTTTTTCTCGGATAACGGCGAATTTCCCTTAGAATCCACTGAAAATTCCCAGTTTTTTCTCGGATAACGGCGAATTTCCCTTAGAATCCACTGAAAATTCCCAGTTTTTTCTCGGATAACGGCGAATTTCCGTAGGATCCAGCGCTAATTCCGGGAATTCCGTTTCTCCCAGAGGTCCAGTTCCGCCCGTACCGCACCGACGACTTCATCACGCGCCTGTACTACGAGACTCCGCGCCTCACCGTCCTCAACCAGACGTGGGTGCTGAAAGCTCGCGTCAACGACTCCGAGCGCAACCCCAACCTCTCCTGCAAGCGCACGCTGAGCTTCCAGCTGATCCTCAAGAGCAAGGTGAATTCCCCCATGGAATGTTCCTTCCTCCTCCTCGAGGGGCCCTACGACGACGTCAAGATCAAGCCGGTGATTTATCACTTCGTCTTCAGCAACGAGAGCAACGAGACCGATTACATGGCGCTGCCCATCGTCGATTCGGTGGAGTGCAACAAACTGCTGGCGGCCAAGAACATCAACCTGCGCCTTTTTATATTCCAGATCCAAAAATAATAAAGGAAATGACTTTTTATGGGGGGTTTATAAATTTTTATGGGGGGGTTTTGGGGTTTTTGGGGTTTTTTGGGGTTTTTTTTGGGGTTTTTTGGGTTTTTTTAGGGTTATTTGTGGGGTATTTTAGGTTTTTTTCCGGGGTTTTTTGGGGTTTTTATTTGGGTTTTTAATTGGGGTTTTTTCGGGATTTTTTTTTGAGGTTTTT